GCTACAGTGTGGTCACATTGCAGAAGGCGTCCCATTACCAGGTTTAACTTACTCTGCCGTCCCTCAGAGACCCTACCTGGCCTCTGTCAGGCACACAGCAGGCACCCAAGAAATATTTGGCAATGAATGAATTAACTGAGACTAAGGAAAAGTAAGGGTTTCTTCTTGGTGCTCTTTGCAGTTTTACCCAAGAACTTTGAGCAAGTCTGTGTACCAGTCTCCAAAATGCAATGGTTAGGGTATGGTCAGTAAGATCCAAACCCGCTCTAAAATAGTAGCACTTCTATGCCTGCTACACGCAATGTGGTCAGATCCTGTCAAGTGAATCATTCTTCAAATCTGTGGTACCTAGTTTAGGTGTGGTATAATAATACACTGATCTTTATCCTTGCTTCTGACACCATCTCCTAAAACCTTTGGAATTTTCTGAGTGATGAGGGCAACTTCTGTGATTATAAGGCCCTTTCTACTACAGCTGAGTGAGTCTGTGCCTAGTGGGGTGGAAATTTTAGCTGCACCACTGATCTCCAAGGAGAGGGTAGGGTTCTAAAAACCCGTGAACAGTAAGAATCAGTGGTATAGCCTTAAGCCTTTAAATTGTGGGGCTGTGCCAACTCTGGACAGAGTCAGAATTGAATGGAAGTGTTGGGTCACCCAACTTAGTGTTGGAGAATTGAGTGTCAGTGTGGAAAAGTCCTCTCCTACATTTGGCATCAGAAAATAACAGTCAAAAAAAAAAAAAAAGAAAGAAAACAAAAAGAAGGAAAGAGAAAAATATCACTTACTAGAGAATATTCTAGAAATGTTCTTGTATATACATTGCCAGGGAATTGCTACTTAACAGTTACCAGAGATTCTCTATCAGTGTGGGATGACACATCTGATAGTCTGGTACAGGGCACTGGTCAACTATACATCTTCTAAAGAATTCTATTGTGACTTCACTGAAAATGTCACAAATAGGGAGGTGTCGTAAATGTGCGCTGTCCGCAAATGCACCAGGGCACAACTTTCTAGGGTTAGATCTTGAAACCTCCAAAGGTAGGTGATCTGAGGACACTCTTACCCAGGCAGGCAAAGGTGAAGGAAGGAAGAGGGCAAGAAAGAGGATGGTTGCTCCTGTTTCCAGGAGCCAGGCCAGCACTGTGTGTCATTTCCAATGACACTTGTCATGACACTTTCAGTGTGGCACTGACACTTCCAATGTGGCCCTTGTCTTTTGCATCTTTCTTTTCTGGACCCTTCTGCACTCACCTGTGCCTCACCTGGGCCTTTCTTCCTTGGCCTCTCTCTGCCCAGAGCCTGGAACTGCGGGACTCATCCTCTCAGTCCACTGGAATTACCTGCAGACCCGCCCCTCTTGCTTCTGACCCAAATAAAAAGCTCTTCCTTCAACATGTTCACTGAATCCAAACTCCACTGTCCTTAATAAACAACTAGGGGATTTTAAAAATGCCTAGGGCTTATCCTCAAATGCAGTATTTTGATTCTGTTGCTCTGAGTAGGTCTTTATTTTGATTCTTTCGTCTAGGGTAGCTCTCTAGTGACTCATACACATCAGGGCTGAGGACCACTTGTAAAGCTGATTTTGACTAGATGGTAAATGCCTGTGACTGAATTTGTTCCCTTCAAAGGTGTGGACAACTGATGAATACTTACTAAGAGAAGTGGGTAGGATTTAGGGTAGCAGTTTAACGGGATATGAAAGTTTAACAGCAAGTTTTAGATTCAGAGGACAGGTCAATCCTCTTCTGGAACCTGCAATAAATATACCTGAGCTATTCTGATGTTTTGCAGTTTCTTCCTTTCTTCCCTGTCTAAATTCACAGCCTTTAGGAAGTCCACCTCCTGTACCCCAGCCTGGCCCACACCCCCACCCCCAGCGACTCCCACTGGACCCAGCTCACAAAGGATGTAAATAAGGGTAGGGCCATTTGTAAGGGATAGGGCTGACATTATCTCCCTCAGGACCATTGGAAAATAAGGTTTACAAGGTTCATTCTCAGGACTACATAGTTTGTGGGCATTGGAGCTGACAGTCAGTTCCCTTGGTCCCGTCTTTTCTAACACTGCCGTTTGAAGAGTAGACTGGAAGCTTGCTGCCCAAGGGTCCTTGGGGAAGAACACTGGGCTGAACAGCCCGGGTGTGGTGCTGCCAGGGGCTTCTGCCCTGCCTCTCGTAGCTTTCTTCATCTGGCAGGTGGATTCTGGTTCTATTTTTGGTACTAATATGAGATCATATGACTTAAACCAAACCCAATGCCATCCTGAGTAACGCTTGCTGCATTTAGAGGTTTCAGGACAGTGCAGAAGGCAGTGGCCTTGGACCTGGCACACTGGACTGTGCCAGATACGGATCCAAAGCCTGCCCGCGGGAGTACAGAGGTCTCTCCAGGGAAGAATTCATTCTCAAGAGGAGAATTCTGTCCTCTATCTTTAGATTCAAGGTGCTACACCTACTAGTTACAAGAGTCACCTTCACTGGGTGCTCTATCGGCATTTTTTTCTTTAATTGGCTTTCCATTTTACGAAAGGGACCCTGAGAGACAGAAGGGTCAGACAATTTCCCCTGTAAAGGTCAAGCTGAGAACCACCACATCTTGAAACTACTTATAAACTCATCCCTTTGTGGAGAAACACACACAGAGACTGGCTTATAGCATTTCAGAACAATAGACTTGATAACCCCCAAATGAAAACTCTGCAGAAAAATCCATTAATTCAACTCCCTAAGTGAAGACCAACATGTTCTGCTCAAAGAAGAGAAGATAGAAGGAGGTCTGATTCACATGGACAGGGCTAGACCCCTTTCTGGACAAAGCAGGACTCTGCAGCAGCATTCATTTCCTGTGTCTCTGCAGATTCACCTATCTTGACACTACGATCTCACGGCCACTGAAGTGGACATTGGCGTGAAGGTCAGGGAAGGTCAGACTTGTTCTTCCCCACCTGTACGGGAAGGAGAGGCCTCAGAATCACATTACTAAGTGCAGGGACTGAGGTGGTAAGGCTAGGGAAGGGGTCTTTGCAGTTAAAAAGAACAAGGGTGCACCTTTCTAATAGGATGGTCTGTATCTATGGAAGGAATGTTCCTTTTGTTTCAGCAGTATTGAAGGTTGAACCCAATGCCTCATGCACAGTAGGCAAGTGCTCTGCCAGTGAGATAGACTCCCAGCCTTTTCTGTATTTTATTCTGAGACAGGTCCTCATTAAGTTGCCCAAGCTGGCTTAGAATTTGTGATCCTCCTGCCTCAGAGTAACTGGGATTACAGGTGTGTGCCACTGCGCTCAGTTGGAAGGAAGAGACAGGGGAATCAATTATAAGGAGGTCCAGGTGTGTGCGTATGTATATGAATGTGTGTGTGTTTATGTGTATAATACACACATACCTGAGATAAACACCCGGTCATATGGAGACCAGAGGCCCCATTGCTGAATGGATGGTGAGACCTCTTAGTAGGGCAAGAAGAAAAGTCCAAAGTAGGTTCACCATCAGCAAGCACTCCAGGGGCTTCCCGCCATGAAAAATGGGGGTCACTCTCAATGCGAGCCTCTGAGGCCCTAAGCAGGATCTGGTCGTGCGGGAGCCCACAGAAGAAGGGACTCCAGTGGGGGGCAAGACTGCATATATGGCAGCCTTGGCAGTGAAGTCACTAGAAGGTTGCAGCTAAGCTTGCCAGGGATATGACACCCAGTACACAGCAGGTTGGAAGGGATGGTGCTCACTTCAAGAAATGAGACTCAATATCCAGGAAAACCATAACAACAAAAGGAGGAGGTTTTCTCAGCAGGAAGCCTGAGGGAATACAGCGACCACCGCCTCTCCTCCCTGCTGGGCGCTCTTCCAACCAGGGTTAGCATGCTCTGATAGACTTCAGCATCTCAGGCACTTGCTCCACACGCTGCCTGGCCTTGCTCATGAAAACCAACATCAGGTTACTCCTGGCTACTCCTCAGTGGTGGTCAGGGGCAGCTCTGGGTCACTCACAGGCGTGGGTGGCATGGAACACGGTTACGACTGCCTTCCACAGGGCGGCTGCTCTCTTTGGATTGGAGAAGTGGCCAATGCTGACCCATTTCAATGACAAAAGAAGTCACAAGACTCATAGGGGAGACAAAAGTTTTAAAAAGAACAGAAGAGCAAGACAAAGCTGAGTTTGAACTTCAGTACTCCGTCCAGGGCACAGCTGGGGGCTTTTGGTTCCTGGGGAAGCCTGGCCCCTGCTGAAGATGGCCGGGACCGTGCAGGTCCCTTCATTCACGGATAAGGCCACGCCTGCAGAGGTGGGACGTTCCCAGGACCGCACTAAATGGAGAAGCAACACTCACTGGCAAAGAGAAGCAGTGACGAATGGGAAGAGGCCGTGTTTATTTTACTTTTGCTGATTGATTCCTAAAGAAACGGAGTAACAAGATTGAGAACACGGTCATGCTCAGTTTGGTCCTCGATCTAGGACCTCTCCAGCTCAGGCTCATCCTTTTATTGGTAAAGTCTCTTCTGGCTCTGACTGAACTAGACCATGCCATGCGCCAAAAGGTTAAGGCATTTCACCACGACCCTTATATTTCTGATCCAACCAGAATGTGTTTCGGGTCACAGAGTATTTCACGGCAGGGAGTATACAGTGGCAGGAATCCACATAACCTCTGTATTTTACAGAGAGCCCCGCACGCTGTCACAGGTTCCTGGATGAGAGGGGACATTTGTCACACCCAGCAACGCAGACTGATGTATGTGTTGCCATCTGCGAATCCAGAGTCAAGGCCTGATTAGCTCCACTGCTAGTTGTTGTTGTGAAGCTGTCCTTAGAACAACAGACAGAAAAATTACGGCTCCCTGCAGGGCTCCAGCAGCCCACCGCCGCGTTGGGTGAGACACTTTATGCGTCTGGGCAGGTTTCCCCTGGCTTATTACAGGAGACATAATTGCTTTTGTTACACATCCATAGGAATCTGGAAAAGACATTTTTTACGGTCCTCATTTTCAATGCCCTACTTACCCACTTCATCCCTGATGTTTGCAAGTTCGATTGACAGCTCTTTTTCTTTCACAAGGGCACTTTCATTCTGAAAAAACAAAACGAATACCGAGAGTCCCCTAGTTTTATGCTACATAAGTACTTGCACATGTTTAATTAATGAATCACATTAAGCAAATATTTATAAGTCTAGCCCTTAAGGAGATAATTTTTCTCATTACATAAGCATATAAAAACTTAACCGCCAAGTCTGACTCATTCATCTGTATTCATTCAAACATCAAACTTTGCACTGTAATATTTGAAATACCCATAGCTGTGCTTTTTCTCTATGCACATATTACACTCTTGTAGATCATCCTGCAATGATTTTTTGCACATCTGTGTCCTACACATCAATATACTGTGTATTATTACTATATACTGCTAAGTCTTTCCCTTTTTAACCATGTTATTTTTCTCTGACCTACAAAGGCTTGTTTTACCACTCTCCCCCTAAACTTACCCTTTGTGTGCATCTGGTTAGCTACCTAATGAATAACAACGATCAGAGCTGAACCCTCAACATGAAACATTTATCTTTGTAACAAGATCAGTCACAGCAGTTAAGGCTTCCTAGGTTTTTCTTCTATTATTGACATCAATAGGAGGGACAAAAGGAACCTCTACACTTGAAGTATTAGGGTAAAGGATCCCATGTGCCTCTTAAAGACGGCTAAGGTATTTTCAAATCAAACATACTCTGTCACATAGAAAAGAGAACGAGTGGAAGATATGCTCAATTTGTAACCTGGGTTACAGTAATTCAATTAAGAATTTATTAAGATACCATAAAGAGTTGATTAAGATTCTATTAATAAATACTACTACTAATAATAATGATAAAATACTAACAACAAGTTACAGATATCAGCCTTTCAAAGAAGCTGTCATTCAATAAAATATACTCCCAAAGCAAACAAATTTTGAGAGACAGACTTTTTTGATTCAAATGTAGACCATAACTCTGGCACAGATATCCCCGGAGCCTTGTGAATGTTTTCTATAGTTTGCACATTCAATGCCCCAAAAGGTCTATGTGTTAAAGGCTTGGTTCCCAAGGTAGTGCTCCTCAGAGGTGCTGTGGACCCCTGAAATGGAGGGGTCCACTGGAAGGTCCTTAGGTTCTCAGGGACTGTGGACTCCAGCCTCTTCCTCCCTTTTGCTTCTTGGCCATGAAGTGAGTAGTTTGCTCTGCAGGTTTCTCCCCACCCTTGCCCTCTGGCATACCCACCACTGTTCCAAACCAGTGGGACCCCTGACCTTGGCCTGGAACTTCAAAAGCCATGAGCCAAAATAAACCTTTTTCTTTCTATAAGTTAATTGTCTCAGGTATTTCATTACAGTGATGGAACACAGACTACTACAATGTTCTTTACTGACTATCTTTGACTTTAGTTTCAGCACCTTTGATGCCCCTATGGTCAGTGAACTACAGACAGCTCTTATACTCTTGTTCCTGTGACTGGGTCAATTAGACTCAGATAACAAGGGTGCTAGTTTGGGTTCCAGGGAGAGTTTCAGGTGATTCAAAAGGTCTTTCTTTCCTCAGCAATGTCATAATATTCATAATTCTAAAAGTAAAACTCAATTTTCAGAATAAACTGAGAGCTACTGCCATCACAATTGTTGACAATTATTAGCTAGTAATTCTCTGAGAAAATGTAGCAACAAATCCATCCTTTGAGTGACAACAGGCCTTGCCATGGTTTGAATGTTTGTACCCCCCAAAATTCATATGCTCTGATCCTAACTCACCCATAAATGTAAGGCTCTGAGGAAGCAAGCCTTTGGGATGATTCCGTCCTGAGGGGCCATCATGAATGGGTGAGTGGTCTTATGCTAGAAGCCCCAGAGCATAACCTTGACCTTCCATAGGAGAGGACACAGCAAGAAGGCACTGTTCTGTGAGAGAGTGGGTGCTCATCATTCTCCAGATTTACTGAAGCCTCATTTGTGAAGTTCTTCCCTATGAGTTCAGGGTCAGTAATGACAACTCAGGGTATGTTTTCCTTATCATAAAATGATACTGTCTCAATGGCAAGCCCAGTGGACAGGGCTATCACAAAGGTTCAGTGAATTAGCATAGGTAATGTAGTTGAAAAGCGGCGAGCACTTAGGTGTTATTACACCTGCATGCCAGGTGTTATTACAGTCCCATGGCTTCTTTTTGTTTTATTTGCAATTGGATAACATCTTATAATAGGTGCCTTTCTGCATTAATTATCTGTTTAGAGATTTCATATCAGTTTTATGCTCTGGTTTCTTGAGCACCTTCCTGGGTCTGCCCAGACTCTAAAATTTTACTTTTTTGTGGTGTTGGATATCGATCTTAGGACCTCAAGCACGCTAGGCAAGCACTCTACCACTGAGCCACATACCCAGAGAGATCAGCAAGACTGAGAGGGCAGGGCGTGCAGCCTAGTGGTACTGTACTTGCCATCCCCAGCACTGCCAAGAAAAAGAAAGGGCAGGTAGGGGTAACTCAAGTGGGTTTTGTTTGAAGATTATTTACTAGTTAATAAAGGTTTGTAACGCTAACTTCTACCAAACACTTCTGTAGGCCATACACAGTGTTAGGCAAGATCCCATTTACCTTTCCAGGTATAGCGGTTCCTCAGTACCAACAGGGAGTGGACTGGTTTCAGGACCCCTGTTCTCACCCCAGGCTTCCAAAATCTGGGATGGTGAAGTCTTAGATAAAATGGTATAAGAGTTGCATAGAACCTACGCGCATCCTCCTGCAGACTTTAAATCATTTCTAGATTACTTATGATCCTACTGCAATGTGATTACTGTTGAAATAGTTGATGATACTGTATTATTGAGGGAATGATAATACAAAGTCTGCACATGATCAGTACAGATACATTTTTTCCCCAGGTAATGTCAATCTGCTGCTAGCTGACTATCAGGAGGAGTTCAGGAGGGCTGACTGTACTATTCAGTGGTTCCTGGAATTTATGTCCTTTGTTGGGGAGGGAACTGGAGCTTTAATGGTGAAGTAAGCAGCCCCTGCACCTCCTTCCAGGAAATGGCAAAGACAGCAGTTATAACCCAGCACCTACACTCTTCGTCAAACTCTAACACACCAAGAATCTCCCCTCTTCAGTTTAGACAGATATAAACTCAAGATTAAAATTGCACTTGTCCTCAGACCAGACTGAACACTTCTGTTCATGTCTGGCTGAAAGAAAGGTGATCACTCTCTTCTCTTCTGGACTCACTGATCTGGCTCCCTGGAAAATCCCCTGGCTGCGCTCACTCACTGCCTCAAAGCCTGAGCTGCCCACATTTACCCGGGACCTTGATTTGGAGGTTGACGGTGGTACACTTCCAGGGCTTGGACCCTTTTCAGTACAGCCTCCTTGGTTAAAATTTCAGATAGTGCTATCTGCTTGCTTTTCCCTGATAGCCCTGGAAGGGCCGTTCTGATGGCCCCAGAATGCATTCCTGCTGAAGATGGCGCCGTAGCTCTGCCCCAGCTTGTCAAGGAGAGCCAGCCTATGCAGTGTGGTGACAACCCCTCTTCTCTAAGTGCTTCTTTTGAAATGATATCAACACTTCTAATTTACAGATTCTCTGCATCAAGGAAAGCTGCTTTTAGTTTTCCGTCAGCCAAATCAGAATGACGCAGGGCTACCCTGCAACGCGATGAGTCAACAGCCGTGAATGCAGATCCAGCGCTCTTAAGGCAGGCGGTGAACTTCAAGGAAACTTCCACTGGCTGTTCCTTGCCAAAGTGCTATCTCCGTCTGTTGCGGCTCACCGAAGCCAGTGATGGTCTTGATCTTAGGAAGCCCTCAGATTCTGGGGAATACCCAGGACTCCTTCTAAAAGGACCTCAAGGTGCTTTTCTCCCTCATTCCCCAAACTAAGCTAGGTCCTGGGTGATGACGGGGGGATGACTGGAATATAAGCAAGTTCTCTGACGGCCAAGGTTAGATCAGCGCTTCCCTAAATGGGGGACAAGTGGAAAATTCCTAACTGGTGCCAAGCACGAGAGATCCTGCGTTCACTCAAAAGGGCTAAAAATAGAGCTCACTAACCCAGTGACACCGTCCAGAAATCACAAAGCCAAAGAAGGCCATTCCTCTGCATTGGCTGTTTACGGCAGGGTTAATTGGAAATGGGTAGGTTGAGAACACTCACCTATGCCCCAAACCAGCAGTGGCATTCTCTTAGTCATGTACTCTCTCCTCTGCACTCTCACTTCTCTATTTGTTTCAAGATGGTCTACATATGTTATTCAAACGTGGACTCCAAGATGAGCTGGTCTCACAACACATCCAGCTCACCTTATCTGCCTGTGCTCCTAAGCATCCCAGATGCTTCAGGTGATCTGCTTCACGAGAGCCTACCTTGCTTTTTAAACATGGTCCCCCAGGCCAAGGCCTTCCACAGACTCCTGCGGAATGTTGCCTTTTATCTTTTCTGGCTAGAGAGGCATGGAAAAGCATGCAACCTAGTCATTATTCCATTCATTTCAAGCAAGTAGATTTGTAGCCAAGCCCTAAGCATGCCTGCCACACTCTGTTATTTTAAGATGCTTGGCCAGTGAGTGTTATCTGTTCAGATGGTTGATGATACCATGGGAACTTGGTGCTAATAGGAAGTGAAAACGCCTCTCCTTGTTAGCATCACCTGTGTGATCCTAGGCTTGGGCATCAGCCACCCATGCTCCTTCCTGGATAGGAAACCAATCGACTGGCCTGTTTATTATTAAAATGGAATTCTGGGTGCCTCTGAGGCACCATCATTCAATGCAGTGTGTACTTACTGAGTGCCTACTATGTGCCAGGCAGGGAATTTCTGCCTTCAAGGAGCTCGCCTCTCAGAGTCAGTCAATGCATAAGCGAGTATAAAACAACGGGATTGAATTCAGTGGGGCAAGTCTGTTTTGGAGATTTAAACTGAGGCCAGAAGATGAATAAGCAGAAGAATATGCAGGGAGCACCCCAGCACAAAAGCCAGGAAAAGCAGTGACACACGATACTCCCTGGGGCTTTCTGGGAACCTCTGCTACCTCACCAGAGGGGCCCTGCATTT